TTCATATAAAATCTTCTTCAATGTCCTATGTCTTTTCTTTTGAAAATTAGATTCAAAGGTGAAGCAACAAGGTAGTGTGGCATCTCGGATTTTGAAAAAAAAAACCAAAATGTGATGACTGCGATGTCAAATATCCACCTGATAAAGTCTACTCAACAAAAATTACCCAATAGTGTCGGCTGCGGACTTTTCTATGACGCGTCGCGACCTTTTTCGGAGAGGCGACAAACAATTTGTTGCTCGCCTGCGTGTTGCTGCCGAGGCGCTGTTGTTTTGTTGCAGCGCCTGCAGCAATAAGCCGGCAAGCGGTTAGTTCGCTTATTAGGGCATATACAAAGGGATATGGTGCGATGTGGGTAGCCCGTAGCCTACGTTCACTCCCCAACTTAGACAAACTATGGCTGAATGTTTTCTCGCCACTTGGAAGAGTACAAATCATGAGAACTATTCGACACCTGCATAAATAAACGCTACGAAACCGATTTTTTTTTTTTTGAAGAAAATCATATAGTAGTCCAACCAGCTAATAAACAAATCATAAATGCATTAGGTTATCTAATTAGAATAAACAATATATGGCCACCAAAAACCTTGGATGACGGAAATTTACTGCTAGTTTAAAAAATTTCTCATTTAGAAGTTTTGTAGTAATTCTCGGTAAACATTGAAATCCGAATCCCAATAGAAGCGAAATAATTTTTTTACCACATAGTTTTAACAAAATGTAAAAACACGATCCCCCTATTTTTTTTCACAAAAATTAAATAGTATAGGGGAAACTGGTTCCAAATCTAAATAAGTAGAGGAGAAGAGAAAGTAAAGAAATAAGTGGTAAATAAGTGATAATAATGTTAAATATTTTCCTCCAAGGTGTGTGGAAACAATTTCTTGACAAATATTTTTTTAGTTGATATCCAGTTTAAAAAATCGCCTACGTGTCTGATGAGTCGTCCAAGTTTGCCCGTATCACCAGGATAGTGTTGAATATTATTGGTATATACGAGATCATGAACCCGTTGTGGTATTCCCATCGTGAGCTCAAGCGCTTTTTGCATGCTCTTACTGCTTTGATTCGCTCTTGCTGTGTATTTAACGAATTCCTGAAAGCATAAATTATCAATTTTGAACGTTTTGTATAAAAATGGCAAAGAAGACAGAAAGTTTTAAAGAAAATAAAACAGAACTAACTTTAAAATAGTTCTGATAGTGTGTAATCCTTTCAGAGACATTTTTTAAATGTTCTGCGTAGGTATGTGAACCAGCCTCGTACTTATCGGAGAGAGACTGAAAATATCAGACTTAAATGTACGGAGGGCAGGCAAAGAAAGCCAAAAACCAATGAAGATGGAATAAGGACAGATTATAAAACATTCACATAACAAATACCCAGAAGGACAACTCGTACAACACAAGCCTGTTTTCAGCAGGAAGGATTATTTTTTTAATCGACTTTGAAGATGATGCTTAAGGAAATTTGTGGAAAACTTTTTTAATCTTTAACTCTTCGCGCCAAGAGAAAATAAGAAGTCATCAAGGGTGAAGATTTAGTCTGGCTGCACGAAAATAA